CAGAAATATAAAAAATTATTTATAAAAGAATTAAAAACCAGATTACCTAAACATAGTTAATAGGATCATAAAATCAAATTAGTAGATAGAAAGTTAATAATATTCTATAAGATTTATAACTTAAACGTAAAAGAACTTAAAACGCTACAAGAATATATTAATAAAATGCTAGTAAAAGGCTATATTAGAGCATCTATATTAGAAGCTAGATACCTAGTTATATTTATTTTAAAAAAGAATAGAAAATTATGGTTAATAGTGGATTATTAGTGATTAAATGCGATTACTATAAAAGATAGAATATTGTTGCTATTAATATTAGAACTATAGGACTAATTACACAGAATAAATTAGTTCATTATTTTAGACCTAAAGGGAGCATATAATTTGATTTAAATAAAGAAAGGCCATAAATAGAAGATAGCTTTTAGAATAAAATTCAGATTATTTAAATACTTAATAATACTATTTAGGCTTATTAACGTACTAGTAATATTCCAACAAATAATTAATAGTATACTATAAAAATATTTAGATAATTTTGTGGTAGTATATCTAGATAATATACTGATCTTCTTAAAAACCCTGGAAGACTATAAAGGATATATATATAAGGTACTATAAGCGCTATAAGACGTGAAGTTACTAGTAGAACCAGTAAAAAGTAAATTCCATACCTAGGAAGTAGACTTCTTAGGATATATAATATAACTAAATAAGATATAAATAAAAAAAATAAAGATTAAGGTAGTAAGGAACTAGTTAATATTAAAAAATATTAAGGATATATAAAGCTTTAAAGGCTTTACGAACTATTATAGGAGATTTATTAAGAGCTATAATAAAATCGTAGTACTCTTAGATGAACTTACTAAGAAGGATAAGTAATAGAATTAGAATAATAAGGTATAATATGCTTTTAATAAGATTAAAGAACTTATTATATTTAAACTTATTTTAAGAACCTTTAACCTAAAAAAAGAAACGGAATTAGAAACTAACTTATTAGACTTTACTCTAAGAGCATAAGTTAAATAAAAAGATAATAATAAAAAACTATACCTTATTATGTTCTACTTAAAGAAACTTTATAAAGTAGAACTTAACTACCTTATTTATAATAAAGAATTCTTAGTAATTATTAATGCTTTTAAGGAATTTAAATATTATCTTATGGGAAGTAAATATAAAGTTAAGGTGTATACTAATTATAAGAACATCTCTTATTTTACAACGACGTAATAATTAAATAGACGATAAATTTAATAGGCTAAATATCTCTTAGAATTCGACTATGAAATTATTTATTAAAAAGGATCTAAGAACAGATAAGTAAACGCTCTAAGTTAAAGAAGCGATTATAATATAAGAGTACTTATAATAATAGGATAACTCCTTAAGATTAATAAAAATAGTAATTTCTAGTAAAGATAACTAAATACTATATTAAAAGTATAGAAAGAAGACCCAGTATACAGTAAAATACACTAATAGGTAATAAATAATATATAACATATTAGGGATATATTAACAGGATATATATGCTACCTAGGAGGAGTACTAATATATAGAGAGAAAATCTAGATATTACCAGAGTTATAAGAAGAATATATTAAAGAAATGTACGAATACCTAGTTTATAGATATTAAGGAATCCATAAAACACTAGATAAAATATAATAATAATACGATTTCTTAGGAATTAAGAAAATGGTTAAAAAGGTTATTAATAAATGTATATAATATAGGAAAAGTAAGGCTTCATAATATAAGCCATATAAAGAATTATAACTATTACTAATACTAATATAACCATAGGAATTAATAGCTTTTAATCATATTATAAAGCTACTAATATTAAAAGAACTAATAACTAATATGGAATATGATAGTATATTTGTGGTTATAAATAGACTTATAAAGTATGGATACTTTTTACTATATAAAGAAGTAAGTAATATAGAAGAACTTATATATATGTTTTTATAAATAATAATAAGTAACCATGGACTGCTAAAAGAAATCATATCAGATAGAGGAAGTATATTTACTTCTAAGTTTTAGTAAGCACTTATGGCATAACTTAGAATAAATCATAAGTTAAGTATTATATATTATCCATAGATAGATAGATAAATAAAAAGATTAAACCAGACGCTTAAATAGTATTTATAATGCTATATTAATTATTAATAGGATAATTAGGTTAAATAGTTACTTATAGTGTAATTAGCTTATAATAGCTTAATATTAGAATTAATAAAGTAAATACTAGCCTACGCTAATTATAGGTTTAATCCTAAAGTATTTTGAACACAGCATAAAAGACCATAAGTAAAAAGAGTAATATTATAAGCAGATAAACTAAAGAAATTATATGAAGAAATACGATATAAATTAGAATTTGTATAAAATAAAATAGTATAATACTATAATTATAAAAGATTAAAAGGACTAATTTTTAGGGGGGGAGACATGGTCTACTTACTTTAATAAAACATTAAAATAACGCAACTAAGTAATAAATTAGATTATAAAAAATTAGGACTATTTGCTATTAAAAAATAAATATTAATAAATAATTATGAACTTTTATTACTAAAGACTATAAGGAATTATCTTATAGTACATATTTTACTTCTTAAAAAAGCATTAGATAATACATTAGTAAAAGAAGACATTAAAGTCTTAGATAATAAAGAGTATAAAGTAAAATAAATCTTAGATATAAGGATAAAAAATAAATAACATTAATACCTTATTAAGTAAAAAAACTATAAATATAAAGAAAACATATGGGAACCTATAAAGTACTTAAAGAAGTACTAGTACCTATTAAGGCAGTTCTACTAAAAGTATTACTAAGATTAGTAAACCCTAGGTTTATAAGTAAGAAAGAAGATAATATAATATCTAGATATATGTCATCTTAGACCCTTCTAAAATCAGCGTCTAGTGAACTAAAAAAAGGAGGATAGTTTTTAGCTATATGATGCTCCTTGTGCTTAGCCTCTTCCTTTTTTATATATTTTAACTCCTTTATATTATTAATACCCTATAAGACTACTTATATTATTTTCTTAAACCATATTTTCTTTTATTTTTTAAGGTAAAGGACTTTCTCCTTCATGGCCTTTAACTTAGACTTAAGCTTAGTATGTTAATTAGTTATCTTTTAAAGCTAAGTAGGGGTAACACTTAAAATATTATATTATAAGTATTTTAAGTAAATATACTTAGAATATTATAAGGAATTAATAAGTAATACCTTATAAGAAGAAATACCCTAAAAGGAATAAGTAAAGCAAGATAGCATATTAATTAAATAAGAGAGAATAATTAAAAGAAGATTATTAGAACAAAGTAATAACTTACTTTTTAATTTACTTTTAAAAACATAGCTAGATATAATATTAAAAGGATATCATAAAGGATAAAAAAAGATAAGAAAACTTACAACTAATATAAGCAGGGGAAAAGAGCTACTTATAACATAGGATTTAAGCCTTAAGAATAAGACTATAAAAGAGGGGATATTATGTTATAACCTAGCTGTAGGCTGTAATATAGGTTGTAAAATGGGCCAACTATATGAGCTACCCCGTGGAGGGATAAGGCCTATATTAGAAAAATAATTAGAGTATATAAGGTGATTATAAGGGTTATCTTATGATTAAAATAATTACTATATAAGTTAATATGATTGCCTTACAATTAGGACGACTTATGGTTAGAAGTTACTCTTAGGAAAGAGTAACCACCTTATATATAAGAACCTTAATTTTGCTTTATAAATAGATTTTAGCTTCTTAGCTTTTAATAATAATTATTATATTAACTTAAGCTTTACTTATAACTCTTTAACTTTGATTATTTGGTTACGGTCTACGACCTATTACCAATATAACACCTAATTACTTAGATTAACCGCCCTAGTAGCTTTGCTAATATAAACTACAATTAGTTTATCCCTTGGGAACCTTAGCCGTTACACTAGGGCAAAATCCCTTACTAACTTCTTATATAAATAGATAGTTTTAGTTTTTTAAGGCCTTAAAAAAACTAAGAACTTTTAATATTAAAAACTATTATTAGATAAATTAAGCTATTACTTTAAGCTTTTTTTTAAGCTTTTATTATAAATAATAGTTTTTTATTAAAAGTATAAATTCTTTTATTTATAAGGCTTTTTTAGGTTAAAAAAATATAGCTAATAATAAAAGCCTTATCCTGGAAAAAGGCTTATACTGTTAAGTGATAAAGGCCCAGGCCAAAAGGTCCTGAAGGTCACTATCGTCAACATCATCAATATCGTTGAAAGACAAAGGCACAGGCCTGGAAAGGTCCTGAAGGTCACCGTCATCAACATTATCGACATTATCACCGATATTATCGTCACCAATATTATTATTACTAATACTATTACTAATACTATTACTATTATTATTACTATTACTTTTAATATTATTAATATTATTAATATTAATATTTTAACCTAAATAATAACTTAAAAGTAAGCTAAAAAAAAACTAATATTATATAAAAATTATAAATTATATAAAAGCTATAATTATAAAACTTAAAATAATATTTTTTATTAACTTTTTATATAAATAAATAGTTTTAGTTTCTTAAAACCTTAAGAAAAACTAAGAACCTTTAATACTAAAAACTGTTAATAGATAAATTGAGCTATTGCTCTAAGCCCTCTTTCCGAGCCCTTGTCACACCATGTTCGACAGCTGTTTGGAAGGATCCAGACTCGCCAACTGGATGTATCAGGCTTGATCTGCCATGGATCATTGGCGTTCCTCAAGCATCATCCACGACAAAGCTCGTCACATATTGACTACGATTTCGTTATGAATATCTTCTACCATGCGGCACTGGTGGCTGACGATGACTGGAGGGTGAAACGAATCCACCCGGTCCTTGACCAAGTTGGGTTGTGCTTGATGGAGCATGGTCGGGCATGGAAAAGGACCCCAACGGTATGCACCATGTGTGAATACGCTGCCGAATATGGGCTCAAGGCATATATCTCGGAGATTCTTGACGACTTGGATCCTGAGACAGCAAAGTTTGAGCGGTTTACGCCAACCATGAAGTCGTTCTACACTGACTTGCTGCGGCGGTGTCTTCAGACAGAACGAACCTCGACTGAACATGAGCGACCTTGGCTAAGCATATCCAAGACCGTCGCCTACCTCGTCGACAAGGGTGCTGATCCCAACAATCAGCTGATAGGGAGAGAGCATGTTGCAAATACTACATGGAGTGCGTTTCTGCGTGACTTCGAGGACCGCCTCCGTCATGGCGACCAAGTCATCTTTGATATCTGCTGTGCACTAATCTCCGCTGGAGCTCCTCTTGATGCACCTTTCGGTAACTCGGAATTTCTAAGGGAAGCCAAGCGCTCGTTTTCCCAAGGCCAAATTACAGAGCTGTTAAATGCCGCCAGGAGGACCCGGAAGTAGATATGATGGCCCTTTCTGCGACGCTCTCGATATTTGCAAGCCGTTGATAGACGGCGGATTAGGGCTAATTGTCGCAGCCACATACTCTACAGTGAGCTAGCGAGCATTTCGCTCCAAGGTACTTGCTTTCTTTTTCACTCTTTATGGCTGCGTTTGCTTCAAAACGACAACACTCTAGATGCGCTGCAACCTCCAAAAGTAGTTGAAGATGCTATGGCTCTCACGAATGATGTTGGTCACTCGTATCTCTGGGTAGATGCCCTCTGTATTGAACAAGACGACGATCCTCAACAAAAGCAGCAGCAGCTTCGAATCATGGACAAAATATATCAAGGAGCCTACGACATCCTCGTTGCTTGGACAGCTACGAGCTGTACCAGCCCCTTGCCTGGTGTTGGAAACACCATCTACGGCCCCAGGGCATCATTCGCGTGGTCGACATGCGACCGGCAAGGGAACATGGGCCGGTAGTATTGGAGAATAGGCTCCCCGAAGATGTCGAGTTTCGCAACAATACACCGGGATTTGTTGCTATAATACTCGAGCTTGGACTTTGCAAGGGCGACTGCTTTCAAAGCAATGCCTTGTCTTTCACCATTGAGAATTGCTGAGCCTGATGGGACTAAGCACTCGAGTCCACTTCTTGTAGGTGTCAACTCTCTAGGAGGTGTCGACGGCCGTGCGATTCAGGTCATGAATCTGAAGCAAGAGGCAACACATTGCCAACGACAACGGTCCCACGCGAGAACACTTGTGAGGTTTCAGAAGACAGCCCTTTATTTCCCGGGACCATGTCTGTTTTTAATCACCATCCAAAGCACGGCCACAAAATGTTTTGTACAGCCGCCCACTTCGTCCAGACTGACCTCATGAATCCATGCCGAGCCAGACCGCATCTCGAATCAATGCCAAAGTTCTCTTTCCAGGGCCATTTAGGTAGCCATTCCCTACTAGGGCAACTTTAAGGAGGAACTCACCGATGCAGCCTGGCGGCAGCAGCCGATCCAGGTGAGCACCCCGACGCCTTTGCACATGCCGACAACCTCCTCGGGGCTCGATGCTGCGTGTTTTGGGTGAACCCCAAAAGACGGCTCTACTATTCCAGGCAAGGAACAAAGTTTTCATGTGACAATATGAATCCTTTTGGTGTGCCGGTGCTGCCAGATGTAAATACATAATACATGGCTACGGAAGCGGATAATAACTGGCTCTGCATCGGCCTCGTCAGAGTAGCAGCCGACTCAAGCTCAGCAACGGTTTACGGTCGTGTGAAGATACAAGAAAACACGGGTCAGGGCCGTATAGCAATTGCCTTATTCCAAGGTTACGGTCATAATATTCAATGCATCTATTGCTAAATCGCATGTACTAGCCTAGACACTGCCTACCATTAATCGGCCGAGTTTAAACTCCAGTGGTACATATTCCCGGAGAACTCCGTACAATGATTAAGGCTTTTATCCTACCATGTAGCGAAATTCCACTCCAAGTCTTACTTGGACCAGGATCTTTCAAGAGGTAATTACCACTCTAGAAGCATATATATAAGCAAGATATTAATATAATAATGAAATAAGCTGCGTATATTAAAAGGTAGTAACTTACTTTAAGTTAGAATTTAGCCCTGGAATTAGCAATAAATATTATTCGGTTTATAAATAAATAGCTAAGCCCAGACGCATTGTTTCATATAGTCTTCTAAGGGGCAATAGGTCCCAACACAAGCGCGCCCACGCTGGAGAGCTTCTTTGCAGTTAGGCCTTATTGCATTCTCACTGAAACTCCTGGAGCAATCGCATCCCCTCGCCTCAGCCAGAGTCGACTCCTTAATCGGCCCAGCAATAGCCAGGCCGACTAGGCTTACAAGGCCGAGAAGCAAGGGAGAGGACTTCATATTCGTGTATATAGCGATAAGAAAAGTTGATAAAAGCTGATTGCTATTTTGGAGATAAAATAGAAAGAAAATAAAAGTAGCTAGTAGCAAGCAAATATTCTAATAGCTTACTTTTCGTAGGGGGATTATTGCTTTTAAATATATTTAATAATTCGTATAATACTACTAAGTTTAATGCATTTCGGTTTTATATAACTAGAAACGTGCTTAAATTATACGCCAAGATAAAACCTGACTCGCGTAGGTTAATAATAATAATAGAGGCTAGTAACCAATTAAATTATAAAAAAAAATAGTAAACAAGAAAAGCACAACTTACTATAAAATCTAGTAAATTATTTTATTAAAAAACACGTGTCGGTATAATTACTCGAGCTGTATAGATATTTTATAGGGAAAAGAGGCTTCTACTAGCCTCCGTGTACCTTGTAAGCCAAGTTATGCTATCAACTATCAGCATTACGCATAATATTTGTTGACAAGGTTGCCTTGCCGGCGCGATTGGCGGGAAAGTAGCTTGAGCGTGGAAAATCCAACGCTTACAAAGCACGTATACAAGGTTAGAAATAAAATATCCTATACTAGGTTATATAATATACTTAAAACTATATAATATACTACGCGTTAAGTAGGGCACGCGCTTACATGTTATTTCCTTATATATATAATAAATTATATCTCTTTAGCTGCCTAATAGCTTGCAAGACCTCTTCTGCTACATAATTTTCTTAGGTAAGCGGGTCTCCACGGGCTATTAGGCGGCTAAATAGATACAAGTATCCGCACAGCTCTATGCATTACAATGCCATTACTCGTGCAAATTCATGCCCCCCTTATCCTGTAGGCCTTGCAGAGGCAACTGGCAAGGCTCTTGCATGAGTAGCAGATCCAATTCTATATTGCCATGCTACCAGACTGGTTATGTGACAAGGGCTAAAGGCTTGGAGCAGCATGACTCGATTCATCGAATAACAGCACTGAGTCTTTGGCATCAAAGGTCCTTGGGTTTCTTGAAGGCCTTGGTGACCAAAACCTCTTGCAATACAAGAAGTCAGGGAGGGACTTTGCCCTTGATCCCGTGACCGCAGCCCTCGTGTAACCTTCGTGTGACAGGTTACTTGAAAATAATGCCATACAAGCCCGTGATGTACCAGCCACCTACTGCTTCTTCCGTGACCGTGAGCACGACTTATTCCGTTTGGCCACAGGCCAGTCACCTGTGTCCAAGGACAGTTCATCAGCAGAAGTATCGGAATAATAGGAGCGTGATTTGTGTGAATGGCGTCTCAAGGGCGTTTCCTGGCAAGTAGTAATAGTATCCTTACCAGACCCTTTATCCGCTAAATTAAGGCCTAAACTACTGGTTATGAACAGCGCCACTTATCTTACCCTTTTATTTACTTACTAAATAGTATTATCTTTTTATTATTTTACTTAGTTTTTAATATTATAAAATATAAAAGTACCTTAATAAAATATATTAATATTATTAATAAAACCTTATATTTTAATTTATATTATTATAAATCTAGGCTTTTTTTTAATATATATAATAATATTAAATAATTAATATATATTTTAAGCTAGCTTTTATAATATATTAATAAGATTATATATATTTTATTATTATATTTAGGTTTTAACTAATTATATAATTATAAACTAAGTATACCTTTTACTTTTAAAGCGCTATTATAATATAATTACTATAAACTAACTAATATAATTCTATTAAGGCCTTTAATTTTAAGGAAAAAATTTACTAGAATTAAAAAATTACTTTAAGATAAAAGGTTAATTTTATTACTTAGCTTTTTACGAACTCTAATATTAAGTTATTTAGGTTATATATTATAATATAAGTTAAGTATACCTAAAATAATTAAGTTATTAGTTAAATTATCTAGGTTTATAAATAAAATATTTTTAGTAATATATTTATTATTTATAATTATTCCTTTAATTATAGGTATAATATTTACTTTAACTTTATACTTTTTAAATATATAAGTATTTACTTTTTTAAACCTTTTAAAATTATTATTAAAAAATTAAAATAGGAATAAAAATAGCTAAAATTAAATTATAATATATAATATATTCTCTAAGTTTTTAGGCTCTAATAGTAATATACTATCTAGATATTTATAGTTATCTAGGAATATATTATAATTAATAAAATATTATAAAAATATATAATTATATAAACTAGTATTTCTTATACTTATAATATTAGAAGTTAAGTTAATCTTAAATAAGAATTAGCTTATTTTATTAATAGTTAACTGTAAACCTCTCTTTTAACGCCTAAAGCTTAATTAACTAGAGCTTATGTTGCCGCCTAAGGCTATTGAGATTTGGAACTAGATTGCTCTTAGCTGTTATGGACTCGAGCTGGAGGCTCGGGTCTAGGTAGGATCCTAAGCGGAGCCGGCCCGGACCTGGTACAGATAAACTTTAGGCTACTAAAAACCTTAAGGTCTAGGTAAGACCCTAAGTAGAGCTAAACTGGACCTGGTACAAATAAACTCTAAACTAAGATAGGGTATATTAGGAAGGATAAGGAGAAGATAAAACCTTTTCTTTTTTCTTTTTTTTTTAAGTTTATTCTTATTATTTAGTGACGTATATATGCAGCCGCAGGTATAGCCAGTCTATTATATTAGCATCAAATTACATATCAATTAATATTAATTAATATCAAGCCGTACTAACACCTCTTATCACGGAAAGATCTGGGCTGCCTTATCTTATAAAACGCTTAAAAGTTAATATTTATTAAGGCAAAAAAGGTGTTTATATATAATTAAGAGAATAACTATTTAGTTAATTTTACTGATCTAGTTCCCTTAATATATTATAAGTAAGGGGAATTATTAAGAGATTATCCTAGAATTTAGGAGGCGGGAAATAGGAATAGCCGTCGCGTTTTTGCTTCTTTAAAAGGCGGCGGTCCTTTGTGATTTTATTTAAAGCAGCGCCGCGTTTCTGCCCTTTTGTGTCTCGACGCTGCTGGCTTTGTAACGCTGGCATTATTAAATGGCCAACACATGAGCTTGATGACGGAGGACCTCTCCTTTTTATGCAGTTGTAAGGTCGAGCTGGCGGTTCCAGACATAAGGTGACGTCGCTACATCACCTGCTAATTAGCAGAGATACGCGGCGCTTAGTAAGACTGTTAACGCGTCCCACCAGACCATTGTAACATTAACGGGAAGCTCACAGCCTGTAGGAAGCATATTATGCTCAACCTTTAACACGACCAGGCGCTCTTAGCTTGCACATACCACGTACACGCACAATCATGTCTGGTCAACAGGTGTCACAAGAACAATGTAGCTCGCTCCTTAAGGTGACTGAAACCACTGGAGGTGGTTGGTTCAGTCTCGCGCTAAAAAGTGGTCCTTAATGCATAAGTCATCAAGGTCCTGACTCCTGCGCCACGTACTAGCTATTTTTATTATTACTATTATTTTCTTATTATAATAAGTATATTTAAATATAAATAAGTATATTTAAATATAAATAAGTATATTTAAATATAAAATAAATAAGTAATAAAAGAATAAGCGTACCTAGGAAAAAAGTCTGGTAAGCCTGCCAAGCAATTTACCTCCAAGGCTCTACCGCAGTCTCTGCCTAAGTCAATCAATATTAAACCAGACCACATGACCGCATTCAACATGGCATCGGGAGGACGTAATCTAGGCGACGAATTTCTTCGCTGGAAACCTGTTCCAGATCCTTGCCGTCCAGACTTTCCCTACCACCGCGGGCTCAACCTGTCTGTCCGTCCACACAGACGTCCGCCGCCTTTTAGCATCACAGACTACTCGAAAGGACCGGAACGTCGGGAATCTCGGCCAGGAGCTCTCCGATAGCCGACTCAGAGTGGCCGGTGTCTCCAGCACCCACCCGCGAACACATTGCCCGACATCGACTCAAGTGAGCATCAGCTCTACATCATTGAGGAAATCGCTTGTCAAGATGGAAGAGGCCCTTAACTAGTACGGTGTTGTCTTGATGAACGAGATGGTCAAATTTACGCCGCCAAGATATATGATGCTCTTTATTACTCATGTACTGATGAAAAATTTGGTACACCAGTGGATGTTACATGGTTGGCCGATCAACATTAGAGTCGCGAATACGCTGCATACGAGGAGCTGAGCGAAGCCAAAAGTCGATGGTATTCTAGTGCCCAAGCATTACGGTTCCTGGACCTTCAACATGGCTGTGCAGAACTCTCAGCACCTGCGACCGGTATGCATGATTCTTATGGAATGCATCCGGGCTGTAGCATGTAGTTTCTAATCGATTGCCAAAAACTCAATTACTTTTCCCCCGAGCAGCGCCTCTGCATACTCGCCAAGGCTTTGGAGGTCGAATGCAAGATTAATTTCCGTGGTGTGAGGCATGGAGATTTTGCTCCTAGAAATATTATACTAGAGTATACGGGCGCTGCTGTTCAAAATTATCGGGTTATGCTGGTTGACTTTAATTCTTCTGCAACCTTTAGCCGACCCAACTGCAATTATACAAGGCAAGAGACGACACGCCCAATCAGCCCTCGTTATCGTTTTTGGGGCCCATGCCCAAACGAATTCCTGCCATGGGTTCCTTGACCACATTGTTCATGACCGGCAGCTTTCAAAGGGTGGTTGAAGAGTCGGTGGGAGCATTCTGAAGAGTTTGCGGACCGTACAGAGGAATACATCAGGTCCCTTGACTATGACGAGGCAGTTGAAATGGTCCGGCCCCAGCCAGACGCCGACCATGTCCGTTCTGCAAGGCTTCCAGTTGCTAATGGGGACACGTCGTTGGTGTATATGACAAGCACCACCTGGGCGAATACCAGAATACGGAGCATTGAACAGCGGAACTATTAACGCCTTTACAGAACAGACCCGTATAATAACCCGAACCTATAAAGGGCTACAGGAATCATAACGTGTTAAGGCCCGTCAATACCAGAAAAAGCAAATATCGCGCCTAACAGCCTCGTATCGACACCTTGTTGGTCAAACATCGTTACGTGACATGGCAAATGTCTCACTCAGATGCCACCTCAGCCTCACTACCGCAAATTTGCACTCGGCGTTGTCATTCTGAATGCCGAGACAAAGAGCCTGATAGTGTTGCGACTGTGACGCCACTGGCGGCCTTGCGAGTGTGAGGTGGCTATCTCATTGGTGTTCTCATGATTACGCATGTGACAAGTCGCTGGGGGAACGTGAAATGGGTGGTAACGAGGCATCTTGCAGAAAAGAGCAGCCCCAATCAGTGGTTCTACTCTATTTTTGTGATCGAATGGCTGCATTCAGGCATGGAACATGGGATGAGATGGCTACTCTGGCGCAAAGAGAGCCCGAGCCAAAAAGCAGTTGAGATCCAAGCCTTCCGTTTCTTTCTGGTACCTCATACGCTGCCCTCATGAGAAGAGGTTCAAATTATTGCAAACCGCTTCCCATGTCATCAACATTGGAAACATGGAAGATCAGTACAGTGAACATGAACGTCGTCTTCGTCATCCTCCGCGGCCGGATTCAGACGATACCCCACGGGCAATTTCGAAAGTCTCCAGAGATGGCTTCTATCCTCTTCATAACTAGGAGTCGGAGGAATCGCTTTCCCTGGCCCAGGGAGACCACACGCCCTTCAGTGTACTACCCGTCGCCGTTACTGTAACTGAGCTACAAGGTCAGGGTCAACCCGTTCATTCCGACGCCAACGGCTCCCCCGAACGAGAGCCCTTCCTGAGGCCTTTGGACAGCCAAAACTCGGAGTCGGAGTTGCAGACTCGTCTTGAAAACTCCCCCGGGGCAAAGTTCATGGCTGCCCTATCAAGCTCGCCGAGGGTTGAACACAAAGACCATATATTGCTACAATCTCTCACACTGGACGAGGAAGCTCCACCGAAACCTACTCGTCCAAAGGTCAAACCGTTTTGGAAAGTATGGATATTGGAGATGGCCTGCATTTTGCTTAGCTTCTCTGCCTTCATTTGTAGGTCATGTTTCAAGTTCTAGATGCGCGCAGGATTCCAAGCACTAATGCACTCATTCCCTTGTCTCAGTAATCGTCATGGTACTCTCTAAATTCGACCAGCAGAGTGTGCCGGATTTGCCATTAAAGGTCACGCTGAACACGATGCTCTCCTTTTTAGTCACACTGGCGAAGGCGGCCTTTATGTTTCCCGTCTCAATAGCCATCAGCCGGGCGCAATGGAGCTGGCTTCTCCAGGAGAGGCCTCTCTACGACTTCCACGTCTTCGACCAGGCCAGTAGGGGAACCTGGGGCTCCCTGGTCCTGTTATGGCGAATCCGCTGCCGCCACTTTATCGCACTTGGGGCGATTCTCATGGTCGTGAGCACCCTGACGTCTCCAGTTACGCAGCTGGCTATCAATTACGCCGTGCGAGACGTGGTGGCTTCAGGGGAGGCTAATACCTTCGCTGTCCGCACCATCATGTCGCCACAAGACCTCGTTGGCTTGGCGACGCAAGGGTCTGTGTCAATAACTACCTTAGGGGGCAGTGAGGGCATGAAGGGATATGCAGGCCCAGGTCCTACGCTTGGAGCGTTTTGCTCGACTGGAAATTGCACCTTCGATAGGTACCAGTCATTGGGCATCTGCATGGAGATGGTAAACATATCGTCGCAACTTCACATCCAAGAGTTCCAGGATCCAGAGCCATCGCAGAGGGCCTTGTTTGGTATTCCCAACGACTTTGACATATTCCCGGGGGAGAAGATATGGAAGGCATCCCTGCCTGGCGATTACGACTTGATTCACCAAGGTAAGTTGGCATTGATTACGGAAATACTGAATGGACATGACAGCTTCGGGTTTCAAAATAACGAGACCCTATTGCGGACCAGAATTGCGTCCTTTGTGCTCATCTATACTGTTCCAGTGATTCACAACATGCCGTCGGACGTCGATGACGCCGCTTACTTGGACTTGGAGTGGTCGGCAAAGTACATGGCTGGTATTCCCGAGATACAGCATCAGGCTTTGGAGGTTCTATTCTACCTCTGTGTTCAGTCCTATGAGACAAGTTTCCGCAAGGGCGCGGAGACGACTAGCATGGTCGGCTCGCTAGTCAAGCCGCTTGAGCAAGAAACCCATTTCTTCCTGGATATGAATTGCACATCTCAGTTGCATAACAAAACACAGAGTTGCGAGAGTACCAAGTCTCGATGGAACGACACGATTCGACTTGAGAGTCCAGTCAAGGCCCTCAGAGGGCTTAATTCATCAGAAGGAGGTTTCAGCGCTAATTATCGCTCTATGGAAGACATGGCGCAGGAGATGAAACGGGGCCTTACAGGCGCCGCCGAGCTCCTGTACCATCCTCGCTACTTTCCAGACCCAGGTATAGGGGGCAGGGGAGGTGATTTCGTAGAAAACAACCTCGCAAGTGTCCTCTTTGACCCCATCACCATGATGAACCAAACCCGCCGCAATACTTTCCTGCAAAATCTTTATATGAACTTTGCTACCACTTTGTCGTCGACGTAAGCCAGACTAGATGTCCGCAGTTTAAAGCCCTGACACTAATCCTCTACTTCTAAACACTAGACTGCGAGCTGCTACGCCTAGAAGGTTCACGAAAAACGCCTACAATGTTACTGGTGAAGCCTGGAAGGAAGAATCCTACGTTTACATTACTTGGGGATGGATCTCGTTCCTCGCCATTGAGCTTATAACTGCGGCTGGCTTCCTAACTCTTTTAATTGTTACCGAAGGCCGCCTTACTAGTAGCCAGGTATCAAGTCCAGAGGACCGTCTTGTATTCCAGGATATCAAAGACTCATCCTTGGCAATGCTTGTTGCTCTTAACAAGGAGTGTCATGCTGCAGCGGGCGGTGGGCTTCAACCTATGGATGAGCTGAAAAAGACCGCAAGAAGTCTGCGGGTGAAGCTCAAGGGAAATCAAGTTGTACCCCAAGATGGTACCGCTGAAACGCAATCTAGGGGTGATGAGCAGTCAGAGCCGAGTCTAAAAGGATGAAGATGGTTCGACACTTTGGTCAAGGGCTGCTACTAATAAACACGAGGCCTGTGTTGAGCTATTACTTGAGAGATATTCTAATGTTCATTCGAAGAATGAAAATGGTCAGACGGTACTGTTCATCGTAGCCCTCTTGTAACCCGTGTGATAGTAGATTGGCAGGACTTTGGCTTTAGTGCTAGTGAATTTATTATATATATATATATATATTATCTGGACTACCATCTATTTCTCGGAAACCAGTACCCGACGAGCCGTCCCCTGCCGTAGCATAGCACAGCCTTATATGACTCGCTGCACAAAATAAAGTGTCGGCAGTTTACAATTACGTATGTATTGATGCTTTACCTGGCGTCTGGATCGTACCGACGCCGAAAAAGATACAAGGTGAGGAGCTTTCCGGAATTTCCGGCATGTACACCCTCTGTAGCCAAGACGCGTGAAACTCGAAACGGGGCGACGAAGTTCATGCATAATAGCCGAGAGAAGCTTGGCATGACCCGACTTATCGGGCTTTTAGGCAGCTAGGGTAGTTTATTTTTGGGTATAAACTCGGCAGACAAATTTCCCTGCAGAAACTTTACCATCTTGGCATGAGACGAGTGAGCTTTGCGGGCGCGTTGAGTAATGATGACAAAGCTCTACTGTAGCATGACATGGCAACATGCACCTGTTTGGTCTACTTGCTAGAATGGCGGTTCTGACTCCGGTAGGGTTATCCAAGGTAATTGAAAACACCGAACGCGCATTGCGCATAACATATTCGCGTCTTCTGTTACCCATGGGCCATGTCGTCCGGACCAACGTGGCTCATGAGTCGTGACCCATGCGCCCGCAGGCTTTAAAGCCCCATCGTTGACTGCCAAGTGTGCGCTATTATCTAATACCGCGCGCGTCATGTCCTGTCTGGTCTGGTGTGATGTTTTCGTTGTTGGTGCCTGAGCCGCGTCTTTGGCAGCCGTGCGAAGCGACCGGCCAGAGTATCCGCGAACAGAGTTATTTGATAATACGATACGATACAATACAATACAATACAATAAAAGACTGGCCAAGAGAATGCAATTTCATCAAGGATGTACCGAGCTGCCGAACTATAGGATCTACCCGGCTACGGAGTGGTTCCTTGCTTCGGCAATTATTCCCGAATTAAAGTTGGCAATTGATAGGCACGCCACATCGAATTGATATAGGGACGCCGCACTTTCCCATTCGCGGATGCCCCATATGTGTTGGTGTAATGCATACCGGGATCTGCAAATGTGGCCGCTGATGATGCATGAGTCCGTGAAATCTCGGTTACTGCATGGTACGAGAACTCCAGACTTGATGCATGGGCATCCTTGATGGCTTCGTGTCGCCTCGTGTGCGTCACCTGCTGAATGAGGAAGGTGCACGTTGTTTATTACGAACTAGGCCGGCGATGCGTCCCAACTTGATTTCCTCCCGCGGCAGCGCACATTGAATGTCTCAACGTCCAGCACTTGGCCGGCCCTGCTGTTGCAAAACGATAATTGCTAAATCAATTGATGTCTTGGAGCGAACCGTTGACCGGTTAGTTAGTAGCTGACCTGCCGGGAGAGTTCCCCCTACATTTCGCCCCTGGCCATGTACGCAACGCCGCGTTTCTGGACAAGGACCCCCGGATGATGCGCGCTGCCTTGTGCCTGGGAAGCCGGCTATGGTTCATCGTGTGCTCAAGGTTTCCTCTCCCAATACCCCGGTAGCTGGGGCGTGGACGGACAAGGCCGGGGACATGGCAAACGCTAGAGAGTCTTGTATCACCGTCATGCATCACTTTGACTACACCAAGATACCCCGGTTTTGATGTTTCATTGCCGGCAGCCTCTAGTGCAAACCGTCTCCTCGGTACCGAGTAGAGGGGCCCAAAATAACCCAGTTGAGGGCTGACTGGATAATGCGTCGACCGGCGGTGGTCTGATGTAGAAACCTTGCAAAGCCTCATTTTTGGGGTCAAGGGGAATCGTTAGCGTGCTTCTGGAAGCCTAGATACGGACAAAACAGCGACAAGAGCTGGCTCAGCCTCTTTGCATTATAATGCCGTGTGGTGCAATGCCATCAGTTCATCCGTCGGGCCATCAAGCCACCCCCGTGCATCAACAACTTTATTTCGGCCGTATGATGGCATCTTGGCTCAACTCTACCAATACTCGTACGGGCTCTCTCTGTTCATGCAAGATAGCACCAAGTCGCTCTTACGCTCTATCGAACTGCCAGTTGAGGCATTCGGCTTTTCGAATCACAATCATGCGGTCCATGTCCATGTCGTATCCTGGGCAGCGGCCTGTTGCAAGCTACCAGACTGCATCGTGGAAGTGCCATCAAGGTTTTTGGAATACTTGCCGAATAGTCATCTCATAATGTAGAGTTCTTCATGCTTTTGCTCGACAACTAAATCTATAAAGTAGCCACGACGAACCCGACGAGAGGGCAGAAAATCCTCCTCTCCCCATCTCATCACAGCCACGCTTTCAAGTCACATCTTGACTACTTGACCGCACTCTTTAACAAGTCAACAATCACATCCCTTTCTTCCCCTCTCAAAAAAATAAAACAAAAATGAAGCTTTCTGTGACACTCGCCACCACCCTCGTCGGTCTCGCTGCAGCCGCGCCTCAGAACGACCCTGTCCCCGAGGAGCTAGCGGCCAAAGTAGAAGAGGTCTTGAGGCAGGTAGAAGTCAAAAACAAGGAAGCCGACAACGGGGGAATAGGAGGCACCATCAACGATGTGGTCAAACAAATTGTCCCCCAAGCGGCCGGCAACCTATACCCCCCAATTGGGCAGGGAGCCAGCATCGTGGCCCTTCTCGCAACGTCAGAGTATAAATTCGACGAAGCAAACGGCAAGGAGTGGCTCAAGAACCTAGGCGGCCTAGCACTTTCGTTTCTCCCTAAAGTCGCTACTCTCGGCAATCTGCCCGGCTTCATCGGCATGATAAAGACCATTGCCACTGGTATCGAGGCAGCTCAGTTCCCCGAACTTACGGCCAAACGAGCCGCAGCAGCAAAATGCTTTGCGGACAATAGCCAAAAGACATACAACGATGTTTGCGCCAACTGCAAACCAGAGCTGGCCATGTCGCTGCTCGCCCGACTAAACAAATGCACCGACGAGAACGTCGTCAGCCGAAACGCCTACGAGGACAACAAGTTTGCCCAGAGCTTCTGCGGCACCGTCCTGTGCTCCGGCCACAAGGAAGGAGACATTGACAACATCATCAAGCAGGGCTTCCGGTACGATCCCGTCCGCGCCTTCTGGTGCAAGGAGAAGGAGGAGATTATTGGCATGATTATGAGCCCCTGGATCGGCCAGCCGCTGCTGGAAAATTACCACAAGCTCGACCACGAGGACTTGAGGGAGGCTCTGACGGAGCCGTGCCAGCAGCTTTTCAAGGTGCAGGGCTTGCAGATTGACGGCGTGTGCCCGACGAGGGCTGAGTTTGATGAGGCGAACACGCGGTCTGTTCCGCAGAGCTTCTGCGCGCCCGGGAAGAAGATTACCCCCCAGTCGTGAGTCTGACGCTCGAGCCTGGCGAAGAGCTTGATCTTGGGTCGGTTGCTGCCGACTTTTGTGCAATGGATGCCATGTGTGATTTCGAAAACGTGGCTGTTGGGATAGTCTTTTCCGCCGATGGGATCTCGGGTAGCGAGTAGTTGCATGTATTTAGCTTGTATAGAGTCTGTTGGAATTTTTTTGTATCAATATACACAGTCATTACTGCGCGCAATATTTGAAATGATATATAGTTGAATGGTGAACTAGTTGAACCTAGAAAAGTATGCGGAATTGCAAACATCTTAGCGTGCCTTGTACTCGGAATTACACTGTCTTATATAAAGCTTGTAATAGTAATAAGCAGATTTTATAATATTAACGCTTTTATTAATGTGTTATTACCCGCTATTCAACGTCTAGATAAATTCATAACTGTCCTCATAAACAAGATTTACCTCCTCTCTAGGCTTCCGGGCACTTTTCGCCCGTCCAGTCATAAAATCCACCTGTGACACGAGCGTCGGAAAATCTATTTGATGTCAATCTTGCACACTTAATCCGAGGCCCGTCTTGGCGCATACCGAAGCCATCCTGGGTGCAGCAATCGAGTCCCCCCCATATCAAAGAAGGAGTAGTGGGGATGGATTTTCCCATCAAAACAGAGTACACATTTCCAAATCGATGTAAACTCGTCCATGATTGGTGTGATGGCCAGAGCGGGCGGTCGACTTTACGACGACGACGAGGGCTAGCCTGGTTGCAGCGGCACCAAGCAATGGCTTTGGATGGTCTTGGCCGGGGGATACAATCGAGAAACAGATCAAACGCTTGCCTCTGGATCATTGTTGAATAGTCTTAGTATGCCAACGAACAAGTCCATGAAGGCCTCGGCCTCGCTTGTTTCCATCGTCTCTTCCGAGTACCGCAAGACGCGCCGTGCCAACTACACTCGGCCATGCCGTTAACCAGCATGCACCGCTCTGCAGCAACCCCCCTCCGTACACGGCGCTTCCGAGCTTTCTCAAACCTGCTGAGCCGGGGAGTATTTGGTCCTCGTCCCCCTGGCTTGGAATGCTCTGAAATTGGAACATGGAGTGGAAGCCTGCGGCACTTGGCCAGGGGTACTGGGCGGCAATGCGGTTGAATGGCGTTGCTTCAAACGGAATAGTATCAATACCTTGATGGTATGCGTCCTTGAGAAGACTGCCAAAACATTGGTTTGCATCAAGGCGGACTCGAAAAGCAATCACATTCAGAGACGGTCCCACCACCTCTTGCGCGCCTTGGAAAGCAGCATACCGCCCAGAGACTAGATTGCCAAAGGTAATATCACAAGTCTGCGATATTTGGGACAGGGTAATTGCCCATGCGACTTTGAGCATCACAGGGTAGCTGATGGTTGCGGAATGCTTGAAAGCAAATGCAATAGTGCGCCTTGAGCCCCGAGACATGACGGGCCGAGCATTGCTCAATGCTCGTGAGGGCAGAACCCTCGAGTTTCTCTCGCCAAAAGCAATCGGCCTCATCGTTGCACTGCTGGATGGTGTGCTTGATGGCATTCCTGGCTGACGAGATGAAAACTTGTTCGGAGGATGGGATGGCGCAGCGCAACAGCGGCGCAAGCTTGTTAAACCGCGGGAATCGGCGATGTGCCAACGTCGATGAAGAACCAGCAGTAATAGGCGCGGCACCGTTTTTGGAACTCGACCAGGAAACAGAGCTGCATGTGCGACGCAGGTATACGTCTTCGATTCCAGTCTCCATGGCCAAGGCTGGCGGCATCTCTCTCTCGTTGGCAGCTCCCATGACACCATTCATGTCTTGGTCCCTTGACATGGAGCCATCGCGCGCCTAGATGTATCCAGGGTTTTTGATAGAGATGACGCTTGCCATGTTTCTCAACGTCTCGGCTCCAAAAATGTCCTGCGCAGTAACCTGTGAGCCCTTGGCCTCGAGCAAAGAGATGAGCCTGGTGGTTGTGAGGGAGTCGCCGCCTACGGCAAAGAAGTCGTCGTGCAGTTCATATGTAACGCCGTCTTGCCTGTTCAGAACCTGCTTCCAAGCGTCTTAAGGACCTCCTCTGCCCTAGTATTCATCTCCATCTTATGACTGCTGCCATCTGCTTCAGTGGTCTGTAGATACTCCATCATCTTGGCTGGGGCTTGGGCCTCGGCGGCTGACACGAGGCGTCTTCTGTCCGTCTTGCCGGCCTCATTCAGAGGCCACGAGCGTACGGGTATCCACAACTTGGGAATCATGTATTGCGGCAAGTTGATTTTGGAGTCTGTGTGCTGTCTTGGATATCGCCTGCTTGAACATGTCTGATGTGTGGGCAAGGAGTGATTCTGGAGAGGTTGCGTGACAGTCTAGCAGCTCAAGAGAAGCGGCCAAGGTGTTGTTGCCGCCTATGTTGACTTTTGCAACGGCAATATGACGGGCTTCTGAAAATCAAGGGCAAGATTCAATCGCGTTTTCAAACTCTCCGAGCTTAATCCGCAGTCTGTTGAGCTTGATTTGCCCGTAGTCCTTTCTGCCCACCATCTCCACGTTGCCGTCAAAATTAAACCGCGCCAGGTCTCCTGTTTTGTACAGGATATTGCCCTTTTCCTTGGCAATCCAATTGAAATGTCTGATGAAGGAAGCATTTGTCTTCGCCGCGTCGTTGAGATACCCTCTGGCCAGCGTCGGTCCGGAAACAACGAGTTCCCCGACGCAGCCTATCGGCATCAGATGCCTGCAATCCTCTTGGTCAACAATCCACAAGTAGCCGCCTAGACGCTTTCCCACGTTTCCAACTGGCCTTTCCGGGCTGATGGGCCCGACGGCAAAGCTAATAGCGCTTCTGTTGGGCCATAACTGTTGACAAATACCTCCAGGGGCGGCTCGCGACAAGCCCACTTGTCTATAAAGGCTCGGCTTGCTATCTCGCCTGCAAGAGTGACCAGTAAACCCGGGCATCGCGGCTGGCTCTAACAAGTTGGCAACCGTCGGCGTCAGATCGACAAAGTTGATCTCCATCTTGACAAAAACCTCTTCAAGATGACCTATGCGGTCCTATTCGGACGGGATGCATACGCAGCCACCATAGGCCAGGACGGCAAAAATATCCAGGACGCTGGCGTCAAGCGTATACGAGCTAAACTGAAGAGCGCGCGTCTTGTTCCCGCGTCGATGGTGCTGGTACCTCTTGCCGTGCTCCGAGATGCTCAAGCTTGCGGCACGTGTTTTATCATCACACCTTTGGGCTGCCCGGTGCTGCCCGAAGTAAAAATGACATAGGCTACATCGCTAGGGGTAGCCAGTCGAGCCTCGTGTGGTGTCTGGGCCCAAGTGGGCGTAATGAAAGGAAACGGGGACGCAAGGGCTAGAGTGTGTACGGAGAATCTCAAAGAATTGTGCTGGAGCGCGGAGACAATGACGACTTTTGCCTTGACCTCTTGAATGATAAACTCTAGGCGGGAGATCGGATGAGACGTATTAAGTAGGATATATCCGGCCCCGGCCTTAAGCACTCCCATTATGGCGACCATTATGGAGGCTGATGTTTCAAAACACAATGGAACGAGATCCCCGGGCCCGATACCAAGTCTCCTGACTAGGGTCTCCTTTACAGCCACCGCTGCCGTATCTAGTTCGGCATATGTTAGCTTCCCGTTATGTGCGTTGACGGCAAGATCGTGTGGCTTACGCGCAGCAGAAATCTCGATGAGCTCGTGAAGGCACGTCTTGGTACAACACTGTGGTGTTTTGTTCCAAGCCACAAACTGGGAAAAGTCATGTTGCTCTGCTAGGCTCCATATTGTAGATTGAATAGTGGAAAGGCCGGCACTGTGTCTATTCAAACCCGCAATCATCCATGAAAGCTGCCCAAGCATACCATTCACTTCTTGTCTTTGCATCAGCATAGGATCGTACAAGGCGGACAAGGAGATGGTATGTTTCAGGCGATTGTACGAGCATTCCGTCACCAGACTGAAAGAACCGACCATGCCCGGCTGATTATCCAGCACGCGCGTAAGCTCCAGACACGTCGTCTTCTAAATGCGCGGGTTGAACAATCAAAAGGTTCCGAGCCCTGCATGCGTCTCGAGCCGGCTCGCTAACCTTTTGGATCCGGCCTAGCTCATAGTATTCATAGGGCACCATCGACACAGCCTGCTCATGGATCTGCGACAGGTATTCCGCTATAGATTGATCCCTGTCAAGCTCTACTACCACGGGCATGGTTGTGATGGTTGGGCCGGCCATCTTGTCGATCCCGGCAACCGCGCTGCCACGTCTCGGCGTGGTGACTGCAAAGCAGGCCCTTTTGATCTGGCCCGACGACCTGCTGCGCATGGCGACAAGAATGAACAAAGCAGCCCCAAACACGATTGCAAAAGTAAATGGACAAGCGTCGGTCCATTCCAGGCGTGTCTCGATTCGATGACTCGAGACTGTCGCAGGCGTGTATCGCGAAGAGGGCAGAGCTGGAAAATGCTCTCCGTGAAAATCACCCGTACTCCTTTTCCAGAATCCAGCGGCTTCCTCCTCATCTTGGGTTAGGGTTAATTAGTATCGGTTGGTATGATTAGTGATTGACCTCCAACCAACGCAACATGGGCTGCGACTGTAGAAGCCGCAAGAAACACGCTTGGACAATCTGCAAACATACTTGGTAAATATTATATAAGCAACATCTGATTGAACCACAGCTTGAGGTATTTCTAATAAGTGCCAGGCTTCGGCGCATTTTGGATCAAGCTGTTTTCCACTATTAAGAGAAATCTTGGTCATGCAAACGTTGTGACTCATGGCAACGCCGAGAATTCTTCTAGCATCAAATCCTCGATGGTGCAGCATACCACCTTGACGGGGTAGTTCAAGAGTTTCGATGCTTGGTCAGGCGTATAGAGAACCATCTCTACATCCAGCTTGCCTCGGAGCAATTCTAGCTGATGTTTTGCAGAGTCCAGTGCTAGTGGAACGTAAGCAGCGCCAGCCTTGAGCATAGCAAACATGGAGACGATTGCCACCGCACTCTTGGACACGAGAAGGGGAATGGTATTGCCGCTTGCGATTCCAAGCGATCCAAGCCTAGCAGCAAGTTTAGAGGACAACACATCCAACTCGGCGTATGTGAGCAGGGCATCACTGGCACTGACTGCGTTCAACGATGGCCACTCGCGAGCTCGCGGGTAAACAATTGGTCAACTCGAGTTGGACTCGGTGCAGGGGCAGAACTATTCCACATATGCACCTGTTTTGTCCCTCGTGGACCAGAAATGTCAAGATCGTCTAGGGTTTGACGTCGTTTCACAACTAATTCGGAAAGGAGACGGGAGAAAATGCAGGCGATCTAGCCAACTTCCTCCCTGGCAATGGCACGGTCGTCGTGCCAGACATGATGGAGATTAGTAAATGGTTCCCTCGCGGCTGGCATTCCACCGCAAGACAATCTTCTTTGAATAAAATGTCCCCAATTTTTGCGGAATGAGTATTTTACTTGTAGCCGTTTCATACTCGGGAGGTAGCAGTTGGACCACAAGCAACGAGCTGACTTGACAGGCATTGTGTGCATCAGAACCAAGCCTGCGTATGTTTTGGTAGCCGAATTGCTCCCACGGCAGTGTGTCAATTACAGCAGCCTCCATACTTTCAAGATAACTGCCGACGACTTGGCACGGGGGCGCAAAAACTCGTCTGGGGACGGTCACCATGGTTGGTCCCACGATAGAATATATATATTCAACCGGCGCGGTACGCCCTGTACGTACGCATCCGAAACTAACATCCTCAAGTCCAGTGTAATGGCAGAGAAGAAGGCCCCAGGCGGCCTCGGCAATCGTGGCCAACGAGTCACGGTCATCAACGGGCAGCTGAACTTTCACCGAGTATTTCTGATTCGTCTCAAAATGTGTTGATGTCTTGATTTGTGGTAGGGCTGTCACAGAGACACCTTTTAGATTTTGTTTCCAGTAGTTTTGTGCTTGAGGTGCTTTGCGCAGCTCCGTGATATATTGTACAAACGGCGAGAAGGGCGTCGGTGCATCTCTTGAAACATTTGTCGCAGACTATTGTTGCTCGACATCTGCGAGCACCGACCTGGACAAAGGCCGCGAGCTTTGCGATTGATTCTTCCTCTCGCAGCCACTGAGCCACGCAGGAAGCAAACATGCCCCCCTGTTGCTGAAGCTGTTGCTCCGACTCGGTAGACTCGACTCGGATTCCCTTCACCTTTACCATTTGATCCTTGCGTCCCACGAGGCAGATACTGCCGTCCGCTGTACACCTCCCAGTGTCACCGGTGAGGCAGATTCGAGATGGTGTCAAGCCAGCGGCCAAACCAGACGCTTGGACAAAGTGTTTCGCCGTCAGGCTCGCGTTATTCACATAACCGCGGGCCAGGACGTGGCCCGCAACGGCGATTTCTCCCATGCAGCCCTTGGGGACCGAGTACAGTGCGCCGGTTGAGTCTTGTCGTACTAGTAAAGCCCGTACTCGGTTCCGGTTCGTGCTGACTTCACCGCCTCTGTCTTAACGGTCTGGAGGAAATGGATGAGTACCGCCACGGCACGAGACAGGTTAGATCCTTCCTCTTGATGCATCACGGCTGACTATTTCAGCATGGAGAATGGATCTGACCCGTTATTTACACACTTAGTATGACACTAATGCGGAACAAAGCGTTACCATATATTCTGGCTGTAGATTGCCCCTATTCCTTGAGTATGTTGCTTGTCTTGGCATGCATTGTTGCCTAGAAGCTTACACGTGTGATCGTGCCGGTTGGCCGTCTCCATTCGCAGATATTTGCATCTCTTGCACTGTAATTTCTCGTGCCGAATTGTGCAGAAGCCGCCTCCACCTCCGATGAGGTTTTCGAAATACGGGCCATCCTCCTCCCCTTCCTCCGCCTCTCTCCCAGCTCTGCAAGCCTACCAGGCACTTCTATTCACTGACGGCTCCATCATGGGTACCTTTACTCAGTGAACGATCCAACTACTAGAATATACGCCAAATGTTTGCTAGGGAATGGCCGAGATGCTTGGAGAAAGGATTCAATTCTCCAACACGCTACAGTGAATTCGCCACGAGGGTCAGGAGCAAGTTAACGTTCATGTTGCAAAAAGGGGGGGCGGCACTCGGTAGAATCAATGAGAAAGGCTGGTCATTGTCTGACACGTTCAAAATCAGCGGCATAAATCGCCAGACTAGGTGGCAGCAGTCTGGGAGGCGCAGTTTGCCCCTAATTCTCGTATATAGCTGTCAAGGCTGTTTGTCGACCAGACGCCCAGCAGTGCACTAGTATACAGAATCGACAATTTACTCGGCCCTCGGTGAGACAATCATGTATACTAGGAAGGGACCGCCCTACCCGCCGGATTGAGCGAGATGGAGTGCCCCTTTATCTCTTATGCTCTACTCGGGCTGTCGGGCACTACCCACCAAACTAGTGTCTCATAACATGTCAAGGCACCAGCCGCATGAACAGAGTGGCAGACACCTTTGTGCAGTATCATGAATGCTTGATGCGCATTTTTGCCATCGGGGTCTCTGCCTTGTCTGACCAAGGAGGGAACGTGTCCTTGGACGGCGGGACAGAATCAGGCAAGTAACACCCCGTCGATGAATTCTTTCCATCATGTCGAATTGTGAGTACCCTATTTACATGCGAGACGGCTAGTTCAGACATGCTGTGATTGGTTATGTCCAGGTTATAAATATATAAGCTGCCAAGGATAATTATATACAAGATTAAAAATACAGGTTGAAGCATTATGCTCGAGCGTTATTTCCGCAGCCCGATCTACTCCGTACACCGAAGGGGAGAGGGAAGCAATCGTCTTGTCCTAATAGGTGGTGCGAGTGCTCACTCGAGTCAGGCACGCCAGCGACTCGTCCTACTCGTCGAACAGGAAGGAAATTAAGGAAGGGTGGAGAGAGAATTATGCCCTACCCCTCTCTGGAGAGTATTCAACATAGTTGTAAGCATTATATTATGCATAAGCACGCATGTGTCTTTGGGAAGGTGTCGCGACAAGACTGAGTTACGAGCATGGGTGGCGTAGGGATTCCCAGGGTAAATCGAAGAGGTATAGGGCCATCGAGTTTCAGAATATAGTGCTGCTACAAAAGATCCGGTGCGCATTTCTGCAAGCCATGCTTTTAAAATGAATGCTAATCAATATAGTGTTTCAATTAGAGTAGAGGTTGTTTTATATACGGCCCACAATCCCCAATATGCTGGTAATTTCTCGGTCTCTTGGTATGTAATGCACTTGAGAGAAATAATGAGGAAACATGCATCTTTACCTCGCGTAAAGTAGATATATAACATGCTGAGGTTACGCTCTCTTTATAGTCCATGTCAAGCTCTATATGGGACTATCTGATAGCTGTTCAGTCGTTTCTCTTCACTCGTTTTTTTATTTCCCGTGCCTTTACCATGGGGCCCAACAAAGCTATCGCGGCCGCAATCGTGGCATTCGCAGCCCAAACAGCTAGTGCGAAACCCGTTGACATTCAACCAAAAATTATTGGAGGATGGGAAGCCAACCAGGCTGAGTGGCCTTGGATCGTCTCTATACGACTTGAATATCCGGGCGGGCGACATCGCCACATCTGCGGCGGAACGTTGGTGTCACCCGACACTATAGTCACGGCCGCCCATTGTAATCAAGATAGACTCCGGCCTGGCTTGTTTTCAGTCCTTGCTGGGTCAAATGTAAGTTTGCCCTTTTCGTATAACTGCCTCTTTAACAAGACGACTTGTGCTGGTAGCTCTGGTGCTCATATTGACTCTTTTAGGACCGCGAAAGCAGAGAAGCTACTGTCGTTGGAGTAGCTCAAATTATTGACCACCCACGGTTTAGCACTGAAACCATGCAAAATGATATTTCTGTTTGGAAACTATCAAGACCAATTCCAGAAAGTAACACGATTAAATATGCCAGGATGCCGCGGCAGGGCGAGGACCTGCCACGCTCAGCTGCAGTAAAGGTAGCTGGCTGGTATGTATAATCAAGAAATACTTCATCTCTACCGAGCGAGTTTCTGACAACTGGCTTAGGGGAGCTATACGGGACACAAGAAATAAACCACAAGGTGCTCAAGGCATACTGGCACGAGATGCTCCACAAGAGCCTTCCCCGAAACGATGGGTTCCTGTCATCACTCCGGGCCCCCAGCCGCGGCCTCCAGTCGACGAGACAATGTCGCCTTTCCTCCTGCGAGAAGCTTCGCTCAGCGTCGTCGACCTCAACTCCTGCATAGAGGCATACATATCTGCGTCTAAATCCAAGCGTGGCCAATTCAGCAAAAGCTTCGTTCCGCAATTTGCACAAACTATGATGTGCGCAGGTGTATACGGAGGGGCCCAGGATTCCTGCTATGGAGACAGTGGCGGTCCTCTTGTTGATGCCAACTCCAAAGCACTGGTTGGTGTAGTTTCGTTTGGTCTTGCTTGTGGACATCCGAAAGCTCCCGGCGTTTATACCAAAGTCAGCAGCTATCTGGACTTTATTAGGCGAGTAGCTGGCAATATCGGCGGTAACGGCGACAATGGCAATGGTAACGGCGATAATAACAATAACAGTGATAACGGCGATAACAGCAGCGGCAACGGCGACGATGACGGCGTTACTCAGGTGCCTCCAAACAACTATAATTACTGTAGACACTTGATTGGACAATTCTTGCTAACCGCCGGTAACGGCGTCGTTATCCAGGTGCCTCCAAACTTTATTTACTGTTTACGCTTGCTTTCTAAAGTCCAGCCATCTTTCTAGCTATCTCGTTAGTTATTCTAAGTTTCGTCGATCGGCTAGCTAGATGCACCATCATATATGTTTATAAAAATACTCTGTTGAACAGAATTTCAAGACGGTGCATTACGAGTACTACATATGTATGTTCATCGATCGTCATATTGTGCAGGCCAAGCTAGGCACAAGACGTGTTAGGCTTCGAGTGTGTGGCGGTATTTCGTACGAGCATGAATGTGCCGCCGTAAGGATGACGTATCAATTGATGCGCTGCGACGGAAACGGTCCAAGGTCACACATGGAGTCCTCGGCAGGGCCCAAATCTTCAAAAACAGCCCAGCAGGAATCCAGATTATTTCCGTCGCTGTTCGTTTGTCGCTTCTCCTCGACGCTTGTAAAATACGAGGCATATAAGAGTACATGTTGGCATTGAGAATACCAACTTGGCAGCAATCTGCAGCGACAATACGCACCAGACCGTTTACAAAATTCGACATGAAAGAATGGTAGCACAAATTAAAGCCACAGAAGACTCAATACGAAACCATGAACCGTGCCGCCTGGGACGAGCGGGTTCCGTCTGGTTTGTATGTCGATGCTCTTCGTCAATTGATACAAGCTAACCACCGAAAGTATGTCGCCTCCGCCGACTACCAGGTCAGGAACTACATCTCCAGTGTTCATTTCATCGGTAATGTCGTTCAGTTTGACCGTCCGCTCCTCGGTGACACCACCGGGCTCAACTGTGTGCACCTGCAATGCCACATCGGCACCGACATGCTCGGCCTCGCTCGCCTCGGTGCCGCATCCGTGACCGGGCTAGACTTCAAATTCTGGGGTAGCAATTACAGCGGCGCGCAGACTGGCCGATTCGACGGCTGGCGGCGGCGGCGAGAAGCTCAAGTTCGTCGAGGCCTCGGTGTAACAGGGGCTGACGGTCCTGCCGCGAGATACGTTTGACCTCGTCTTCATTAGCATCGGCTCCGTGTGCTATGTTGCCAAAATCAAAGAATGGGCTCGTGTCGTGTCTAGACTTTTGAAACCGGGTGGGCGGCTATTTGTCCGCGAGTTTCACCCAGTGCTGTTGTCTTTGGACGATGGGAAACCAGACGAGATGGTGTTTAACTTGCCGTACTTTGAGCGCGAGGAACCCGGCATTATGGATAAGCAGGGAACATACGTCAGCTCGGGGGACTGTATATTCACCTTGACCAAGCGCGCATTGTTTAACCATGGGATTAGGGAGGTTGTACAGGCGCTGCTGGATGAGGGGATGAAGTTGACAGGGCTGAGGGAACACCAGCGTGCGCCGTTGACAGGCGCGCAAGCAGAACTAGAGGTGGACCAACGAGGCGAGTCGCAGGTTAAAGAGAAGCCGTTGGCACGACGCATATATCTTCACAGGAGATTACTCTTTGAAGCGTCGACCGTGGCGATTGCCCTTTCGTATACGCTACTAGCCGTCAAGGAATAAGAGCTCAGGATGGACACTCCACCTTGAAGGCTTCAAAATGATTGGAACCCTTAACAGGTACTGCTAATATTGTAGCTGTGTTTGTAATAGTTCGTCTAAGCGGCGTAGTCGTAGCCAGAGAATGTTTGTCGTCAAACTACAACTCGTGTGTGACAAGGGCGTGGTTATAAGGACTTGGAACAAATTCGTATTCAGCGAATAATTAGCCTTAATAGGAATGGCCCTCGGTTTCCTCAAGGCCTTACAGGGCAGATACTCCTTATTTATACAACGCAGCGATGAGCAAGCGAGCCTGGGGCACAGGCCTCAACTCGGCCTCGGGCCCCTTTTGTAACTGTCAGGTTCAAGGGACGGCCAGGTTAAAGACAGTTGACGCCACCTCGTCCTCCACTCGGTAATCACAGATAAATAGAGTCACGTAGTATATTGGTAGATGGAGCCCTATATATGATGTACATGGAGACCGTTGGCGCCGCCTACTTTGAACCATACTCTGTAGCACCACTCCCAATCCCCATGCTGCTTATGCTGCCATCAAGACGGGGCCTTCTTTGCAGACTCCCTCTCAGGTTATCGGCTCGCTCAAATCAACGTTACAAACGGGCATCTCTTTTTTAGGCGGTGGCGACGGGCTCCGGCTCTGCGGCACCGCCGACGAAGCCGTCTCTCGCCTCGCCGACGCCATCACTGGCTTCGCTGACGGAGGGCCTGCAGACGAGATGGGTTTCGTGTCGGCAGACCCGTCAGACTCTGATGGGGTCGCCGTCTCCTTGTATATTAATTTGAGCGGAGAGTACCCGTCGGTGCCTTTGGTCACATAGATCTTGTCTTGGCCAGAGGTTTCCGCTGCCAAAAACCCAAGGGACCCCGACGCGCCCTTGAACTCGAGGGTGACGGTGTCGCCAGTCTCTATCGTCCCCTGCTTACCCTTGCATTCGCCATCATAAAAGCGCATAGTATAGTCTCGAGTCCTTGTGCCGGAGATGAAGTAGATGGGTCCGTTCTTGTCTTTTTTGGGAGTACCGACCATGCTCACAATCAACCGCGCCGTCTTGGCGATGTCGGAAAATGTAAGGTAAAGATGCGACTCGCAATGCATCAGATAATAGTCTTTGCCGTATTCCACCTAAGCCCAGTAAGTAGGCGCTCTCTGGACGCATGATTCCACATGGTGCTCACCGTGGTAGCGACGTCGCCTTTGTCTGCCGACGCCAATTCCCATGCCAGAAATTTGCCGGTTCGTTTCTCAACCTCGGGTCCGATTTCGATTTTGCCCGGATCTTTACCTCATGTTAATACATTGACGTGCCAGCAGTGGAGGAACCGCTTCTTCAACTTACCACTCCCTCCATGTCCCACCATGTACTTGCCCCCAAGGCACGCCTTGACATTCAACGTAAACCTCTGCCCAACCGGTGACTCAACCGCTGTGCCTGTATTCTTCCACACCGGCAGCTGTTCCTTTACGTATCTGAAGCCTTCCAGCGTGCAAATCAAATCCATCAGGCGCACAACTCTCCCTTGCTGAGCATCACGTCAGGCACCGAGCATGGCAATCCCATCAAACAGACTTGACGCACCTTGAGAATTCTCCAGTTGCCATAGTAGGCCACAGATGGCGCCCACGCGGCTGGGCTGGAGACATTGTATCAGTGAACCGAGACTACGTGGTGTTGCGGATGGCTTGCTTACTCGTTGCACAGCAAGGTGTTCCCACCGTTCGCTTCCCAGATGAGGGTTTTGGAAGACTCCTCATTAGAGGCGCCCCTCGCGTCCTGAGATGATTGCTGATGAGACGCGGACACGGATCCCGAGTATCCCACGCCGCCGAGCGACACGGCAGCAGCAGCCTTCAGCGACTTGGCCGTTGACTCACGGCTGCTATCCGAGCTCGTCTCGTATTCCTCTGAAGCAAACAGGGACCCCCCGAGCTGAACGGTGGTGCTAAAGAATTCGCCTGACCGGTCAGCGCAACATCGCAGAACCAGAGCTCTTGGTCTACCTACCATATCTCTTCAAGAATCTGCTATAGCCTGCGGCGTCTTGGATTGCTTTCAAGTCTTGCTCACACTGGGGGGTTAATTCTAGACCCAGTTCGTCGAGGAACATGGTGACCCGTGGGAACTTGGATTCAGGTTAGTCCGTCAACGTATGCCGGCAACCCAGGTCTGTCACCTACATTGTACGACATTGTTGCTTTGCCCTTGCTCGTTGCCGTGCTGCTTTGATTCGAAGTGTTTTCCGCCACGGACAAGCTTGCAGACGCATCCACGCTACATCCAAAGGCCCCTCCGCTTCTATTACGTTTTTTTCGTTAGAACACATGTACTTGTAAAGTTTCGGAGCGGAAAGCACAAACCCCGAGGCTGAAATGTCGGTCTGCGAGAAGCCCTGCCTTGCTAGAGATTCTTGCGCAGCAGAAGTAGAGTAGCGAAACGCCACGTACGACACGTCGTCATTCGTATAGCGCGGAATACGCAGGTCCAACTGTGCGTGTGTCGTGTTAGCGTCGAGGCATTTCACCGTCATGTTGCCGTACGAACCTCGACATTCTTCACCATGCTGCTTGCCACCGTGTCGGAAAGCACCTTTCTCGTCGCTAAACGGAATGCTGGTAGGACATGAGCCCAAGAACGTATTGGCCGTTTGTATGATAGAGTACGTACCTGGGTACTTGGGCTTCTGCACCCCAACAACACGCGTCTCGGTTTTCTTCTTTCCTTTTTCTACTATAGTCACATCTTCGGTAATGGTGCTGATGCCGTAGCAGAGCTGGTTCGTCTCAACCACCACTCCCCACTGCTTCTCCTCGAGCTCGGAAACGTGCCTGATGGTGTATTAGCACATGGAGATGATGCATACAGCGTAAACCGTCTCACCTCGCGTTGGTACCGGTCAATGGACTGCTATAATACGAGGGAACAAAGTCGTTCCATCCCTAGAAAGTGTTAGCCGGGCGATGGACTTGCGCGCTTGGCCAACACACCGTCTCTGTAGGAAGTTTTTCATCCTTCATGAATACCTCAATGGCTTGGCCTTTTGCGTCTATCTGGTACGAGTTAGAGCCTATAGCACGATACACACACATGTGATGGTATACCTTGAGGCATTTGGATAGGTAGTATTCAACAGACATGGAGTCTTGAACTACGGCACCTGACGCCAAGCAAAAGGGAAACTGTAAGCTAATCTCGTCGGTTAGCCAAGGAGGCCGCATGGTGAGCTTTTGCCACCTTACAGTTCAACACAGCGAGTGTTCTTCACGATCAGCGATCTCAAGTCGGATAGCTTCTCATCATCAACATCGGTGCTGTGAATCTCGAGAAAGAAGGCCTCGACCGTGCTATCCACGCCATCCGTCACATTGATGATGCAAGTAACGGGCGTTGGGGGAGGGGTTTGGGTGTTGGTTGCCAGCCCAGGCTTCGAGGCCTCGGTATTTGCAGCATCAGGCATGTTGATGGGATGTCGGTAGTGGTTAGAAATGGGACGGTAGGAATTTCTCAATTCTTGCAAGGACTCGTGGAACGGGATTGTGCACGAGTGCAGATGATGATATTTATAATGGATTCTCCAGTCGCCGTCTGTAGATGCCGTGTCGAGACCGACAACGTCCCCAGATGGTTGACCGCATCGAGTCGTCTCAAGCCCAAGGCTGTAGCACATTCAATATCGGCCGCCGCATTGGGTCTAGAGCAGGCCGGGCGCATGTTTCATTTCTTTGGGATACCGGGCAGACGGGCGGATGGGAACCATTTCCTAAAAGCTCGGTCAAGTCTTACCTTCATCCACACCGGTCTGCGCAACGCGAGCAGATCAGAGGGCCGCTGGGTCGTCACTGCATTAGCATCTACACGTATTAGTCGAATGTTACTCTCCCGACCCCTCCACAGGCATATACAGGAAGCTATTCATGCGGTCCGTCTGCGATGCCGGCCGTGACATGTACGTGGAGGACCGAGGCCGAGGTGTCACAGGATCGTCATCAACGTCCATCAACCAATTGTTCTTGTCTCATCACTCTGCATTCAGCCAGCCATGCATCGCAAACTCTGCCAATTTCACTTTCCGCTACCCCAGCCTCCAGAGCGCACCAGATTTCCCCATGATTTGATACGACGGGGCAAAAGTGCCGAAATCAGCGTTTCCGGCCTTCAGAACCCTCGCTTGATTGCCTACAAATGCCGCTGCACGCCCCTCGCGTTGTCTGCCTCACAACGGCAACTATCGTTTTTGCTCCCCTCCACTCTGTTGTGTATTCCCTGATTCCGCGCTTGGAAAAATAGTCAAAACGACAACAGTCCTCTTCCTTCTGTCCTCGGCTGCATTTTCTGCTCACAATTCCACCATGCGTAAGGACAGGCCCGACGTACCGTCCGGCATCAAAGGCTGGGGGTTCCTTTCCTCCTACGTCAAGCAAGACTTTACGCCAGCGGGTTGGCTCAGAATACCGGTCGCTATCTCAAAGACATGGCGGCCCAGACCGCGGCGTGACGTGGAACGTCCGAGCAAGTATGGCGTGGAAACCAGGCCTGGTGTGCCGATGGGCAACTACAAGAAGAGGGTTCCAGAGAAGAGGTTCAAGCCCAAAGATATTTCGTGGCTGGGGTTGAAGAAGACTTCGAAGGTTGGGCCGGCCAAGTAAAGTCGAGCATGAGGCTGACGGGAAGACGACCAAGACGTGATAGCCCTAGATTGGTTGCCCAATCAGTTCGCCGTTAATTACACGCTTGCAAACAAAGAAATTGATGCCGTCCGCGCTTATGAACCAATGTGAAACTGCAGAGCATGTAGTGTCTGTAAGACGTGGCACATTGGCCAACAGTCAAGCCCCAACCTGCAATTTCTAACCAATTTCCATTTTGCATATAGTCACGCTCTAAATTAAAACTTGTAGCGGTTGTTCCTTCAATCAAGTTGGAGTAGTTTCCAGTTGTCAAGTGTCTGAGCTCAATAATTGTTGTTGTCGCTCTAAATTTGGATAATTATTATAATAAGGGCTATAATTATAAAGCTTAAAATAATATTTAATATTTAACTAATAATTTACTTTAATATTAAGGGTTTTTAGTTTTTTTTAAAGCTTTAAAAGGTAAATAATTTTTATTTATATTAAAAGGTAATTAAAAGGTTATTTTAAGTACTTAAAGCTTTTATTAGATTTTAAGC